GAGCGGGACCTGATCGCCCCACTGATCACCCTGCAGACAGCGACCAGCAGCAGCAGGGGATGGCGCTGCCACCTGGCTCCTAGGTGCTGAGGGAGCAGGTCTGGGTTGATGACTCAGGTGGAGGAGGGGCGGGGCCTGGGGTTCCAGATGCTACCCAGGGCCCAGAGGTCTGCTGGGACCTGTCATTCCATGCCAGACATTGTGTTTCGATTGCCAGCCAAGCTTAGGCACCACACCCATGCGGGAATTTCATGCACCAGCCTCTAGTCTTTGATAATAAGACAATCAGATCCTCATGTTAGAAAACTGTCTAAAATCACTAAATCTAACAGATTTTCAGTGTTATTAAAATTTTGTTTTTCATTTATCCTCTCCAATTCCTCTGCACTTGCCTAGTTTAGTTCTTATGAAATCTGACAGGTTGGGAGCAATCCTTGACCTCTTAAGAATACCATATTCTGATAATGGAGTTGGAGATGTAGAAGGTTAGAATATAATTATAATAATATATTTACAAAGTGCTACGATTCACAAAGAAAGAAGCAATTAATATCAGTGGTAGTATGATAAAGACAATCTTAGATAGCTCCGAGGAAGAAAATATACTTGGAGTGCATCTTTGACTATGAGAAGTTTAGATACAGAAGGGAGAGAAGGATATCACAGAAAGAACAGCGTATAAAAGGCGAAGATAGACCAGACATTACAGCGAAGGAGATGAGGTTTTAATGAAAAGCTGAGGCTAGATTATGAAGGGTCTTATATGCCATGCTAAGGGGGCTTTATTTAATTTGGTAGAGAGAAGGGAGGCATTAAAAGCCTTTAAATAATGGTATCAGAAGTTTGTACTTTAGAAAGACAAGTTTGTTGTATTTGAAGGAAGTTCCAGTAGTCCCAACTTTAGGGGATATGCCTCCCCAGCAGGCATCTGGAAACTGGGACACTATCTGTATGTCACAATGACTGAGGGATGCCACTGGCATCTGGTAGGAAAAACCCAAGCATGTCAGGGTTTACACGCATGAAGCAGTCTCCTACAATGAACAGCCTTCCCCAAAAGCCAGTGCAGTGGGTCCTCCACTGTGAAACAATGAATTGCTAATTTAGCAAATGTTTAGTAAAAACTTAAGATTTTTCATAGACAGGACTTTTAAAAAATTCTACTCACCTAATTTTAAAAATAACTAAGAGCAAATCCTTATTAGTATAGGAAGTAGTAAAAAGAATACTGTCCAATTGGAGAGGGTTCCATTTCAAGTAATGGCCAGATAAAGTTGGTCTTTCTGATCACAAACTCAGTACAAAAAAATGTCAACTACCTCAAGTAATGGAAAGCCAGCTAAAATAGGCTGATGGCCCTAGCCAGTTTGGCTCAATGGACAGAGCTTAGGCCAGTAGACTGAGGGGTCCCGGGTTCAATTACAGTTAAGGGCACATACCTTGTACAGGCTTGATCCCCTGCTTGTGGGAGGCAACCAATCAATATATATTTCTCACATATATTACATTGACGTTTCTCTCTCTCTGCTGTCTCTTCTCCTCCTGTTCTCTCTCTCTCTCTCTCTCTCTCTCTCCCTCTCTCCCTCCCTCCCTCCCTCCCTCCCTCTCTCAAAAAAAAAAAAAGGCAATGGAATATTCAGGTGAGGATTAACAGCAAAAATAAATTAATTAAAATAGGCTGATGCTACAGAGAACACTTGGAAGAAAACAGCAGTGAGTGACTTTCCCAATACTTTCAGCTCTCAGCTTGAGGGCAGTCCCCATTCTGTACCACAGGAGCCTATAGCTTTTCTGACTTGAAGGACCATAGAACAGAGTTGGGGCATTGGCTGCTGCCAAAAAACGAAGGAAGAAATAATGGCAAGGAAAAAAACATAGAAAAAGCCTAAAGTTCATGTATAAACTCTGCCCCAAACTCTTGGCTGGTCTCTGAAGCATGCATACACAGGAGAGATTCCAAGTACAGCAGCTAGGTTAAAGAACTAAAATGAGATTTGAGCGGCCACCAACTGCAAGGGAGCAAGAACTTACAACAGAAATTCAGCCAAACTAACTGCCAACATATTTAAAAAGCAGTCTTCGGAGGAATGTATCAGAATCCAGGGTTTCTGCATTTTATTCACCATGTCCAGGATAAAAATATAAATTACTAAACCTATGAAGAAACAGGAAAATATAATCTATTCATAAAAGAAAAGACAATCAAGGAAGACTGTCAATGAGATGATCTCGATATTGAAATAAACAGAGAAAGATATTAAAGCAGCTATTATAACTATGCTTAAGATTGTAAGAGAAAATGTGCTTGCAAATGAATGAAAAGGTAGGAAATAGCACAGAAGTATAAATTATAAAAACCAAATTAAATTTCTGGAACTAAATAATATAGTAATTGAAAGAATAAAAGCTCACTGAATGGGCTTAAAATAATGATTATCAGAGAGTAAGTGAACTGCAATATAGATCAAGAGAAACAATCCAATTGGGGGGGGGGGCAGTCTACAGAACACCACAAATATGTGAGACATCAAAAGGCCTAGCATATGTATAAAGAAGGAAAGGGAAAAAAAACTATTTTACAAAATAAAGCAATGAGAGGAAAATGACATTATGATGCACAGGGGGAAAACAATTTAAGTACTACTGACTTCTTATTGGAAACAAAGGGGGTGGGCAGAACAATGAAACAGTCTTTAAAGTGCCAAAGAGTGTGGGAGAGGGGAAGTGTCGACACAGAAATATATTCAGCAAAAAGAAAAACAAAATAAAGACATTTTTATATACAAAAGAAAATGATGACACTTAACTGCCAGAAGGCCTGAAATATAACAGACGTTAAAGTTAGTCAGGTTGAAATGATTGATACTACTGAAGAGAAAGGAATAAGAGCATTGGAAATGATGGTGTGGGTAAAAATAAGAGTATTTTTTCTTAATTTATTTAAAACATATGTGACTGTACAAAGCAAACTATAAACTCCACAATAAAATGATATAACATGCTATTTGTAAGACATGACAACTATAAAATAACAGGGTAATGAGGTAAACACGCCTATGTGGTTACAAAGTTTCTGTGTGTAGTGGTACAATAGTAACTGTAAATAGGCTTTGTAGAGTTACATCTTATGATAGGTTTGTTTTACATAAGTGTGTGCATTTGGGAAGACTCATTAATTTGTATATTTAAGATTTATGCATTTTGTTAAATGTCAATTTTACCTAAAAGGAAAAAAAATCCTAAAAAATTGATCTGTAGTGAATGATACTCAAGTTGAAATCTTCAGAAATGAAATGTACTGATGTCTGAAACTTATTATGACTTGTATCCAAAACATTAATAAGACAGGCTGATTGATGGACAGAGACAGATAACTATGTGGTGAAGTGAATGCAGTAAAATCTAAATTGCAGAATCTAGGTAGGAGTACACAGAAAGACAGAAGGAGATAGAGAGGGAAAAGTGCCATGCACTGGAAAATAGAAACAATAATAAATGTTAGCACTACTCGTTGTTTGGAAATTTCATATGATAGTTTCGAAGTTAACTAATTAGTTCTGAAGTTAAAGATTAGTATTGTTTTGTCATGGAATTCAAAATTATGTACCTGTGCAACTTAGGGTATTTGCTTCACAATCTTAGAAAATGCTTACTTATTACCAGGCGAAAAATCCCTTTGACTTTCACAAGTTGACTACCTTATGATTCATCCTTGAAAATTCTTAGTCCATCATTCAGTTTTAATATTGACTCAGGGCCAAATCTGGAAGAAAACTCTGATTCCACACCTCTAATTAGGAGTTTCTACTCCTCCAGTTCTTTCCCCATAATCTAGCGGCTCTATCTATCACACAATGTATTATTCCAAAACTGATGTTTTTCACTTAGAGGTATTTCTAGGGAACTTTTGACTTACTATACAAATATACGATTCTTTATCATTCCAATGTTAAGTGTTTTAATTACCAAATAATTGTTAATTAAGATATACTTCATACATTTGCTCTCCATTAACCAGTATTTTTCTTCTCATTACCCAACCATGTAACATTTGTGAAGGCAGAGCCCATGTCTAGGTTTCATGAGTACCTACCACAGTGCTTAACATGTGGAAGGCCCTTGGACATATTTACTGAATGAAATAATAAAGAATATTTACTATCATTCACAATATCCCTTTCTCAACTGATACTGAAGAGAAATCAACATTAGGACAATAGTAAAGTTTGACTAATTACTTCAAATATAAGTTATAATAATATTTTGTTCTTATATATGTAAATCTTCTTTAAAAAAAAAACAACAAAAAACGTATTTTGCTATCCTAAATGGTTTAAAGGTTATAGTGACTTGACTAACTCAGAAGTTTCAAAAATTAAAAGTCAAGTGATAAATTTATATTATAAAAATAAGTGACTATTTTGCATACTAACAAATCCATACTCTTTTCAAAGTTCAAAGGGAAGAGAAGCTGTACTGATTTGTATCAAAGTAAGATTCAATTTTTATAAAGACTAATAATCTCATATTTGAATCAAATAATTTCAGTACTCAGTTTTGAGAGAAAAAGGAAAGGTTTTAGTTAAAATCTTTACAATAAAATAATTATGATTATAAATCTCTAGTTAAATATGTACACATTACATGGTATTTTAAAAAAGAATGGAAGTGAATAAAGTTTTTCAGGCAAATCTAATACACAAATATACCATCTTTTAGAGTATAATGTCAGTTTAACATTCTTCAACAGCTGTGTCAGACAATGGCTCTGCTTGTGCAAAACATGATAAGCAAAATTAAGAAAAATTCTGCAAAATTCTTTAGTTCCTCAAGAAAGTGACTAAAAAATAAAATAGAAAAGAAAACAAGATTGTACACTCAAGCTTGATTGTGTACAGAGGCTAGAAAGACTGGCACTAATGTAACCCCCATATCTGCTAAATAAGTCCTTGGGTAGCTTTAGTTTGAAGTTAAAAGTTAAAGTTCCAGCAACTGTGCTTTTAGGCAGCCACATGGCCAATAAGGTAGATGTTGTCATAAAGGTGCCCTACAAAATCTTCACTAATATTTTGAGCAGCCCGACGAGTATTTCGAATAAATTCTCGTTTTGACATTTTATTCTTCACGTGAGGGCTAGTGAGGTCAATGGAAAGTAGGATCAAAGAGTAGCACAGTACATAGACAGCATCTGGAAGGAAAAAGAAGCATTTCAAAATGTGGTTCCAAAGGCATTATATCATGCAAAAATGTTCATAATTTTAAGAGATCAAGATTAGATCCTAACTATAGCATTACCAAGTCATCCCACCTTGCCTGGGCCTTTTCCAATTTTAGCATTGAAAATTCTGTGTCCTGGGAAAACAGGTATGGTTGCTTATCCTAACCGAATACCAATTCAGCACTTTCTTCAATTCAAAAGAACTTCAGAATAGTTTAAGATTTAATCGAGAACTCTAAATTTTAAAATTTCATAATTGGCTTTATTTTCATCTTGCTTTCAAATTGATATTTCCATTAACTCACCATAAAATATTTGTACTGTCAGTATATTTATCTTCCCATTAAAAAGAAGTCACATATCTATTTACATATACTTTAATAAAACTGTAATTTGAAAGCATCTTTAATGACAAAAAATGTATTAACTTAGTACTAGAAAATAAAATTTAAACAACTTATAAGATTAGCAAAATAATATTATTTGAGATAGGCATTTTAAGGGTCTATAGAATTTACATATTAATCTCAAAAGTAAATATTTAGGGAAGATGGCTAAAGCTGAGCACATGCAACAAAAAACTTTTCTTCTTTATATATATCCTTAGGGCAATAGTTGATGTTTACTATAAGTTCATGATGCTTGCTACTACTACTTGCTACTACTGTGGCGTTTATATTTCAGAATCATGCAGTCTTAACGAAGCTAATTAGCCAAGACCGGTTTGGTTCAGCGGTAGAGCGTCGATCTGTGGACTGAAAGGTCCCAGGTTCGATTCCGGTCAAGGGCATGTACATTGGTTGCAGGCACATCCCCGGTGGGGGATGTGCAAGAGGCAGCTGGTCGATATTTCTCTCTCATTGACGTTTCTAGCTCTCTATCTCTCTCCCTTCCTCTCTGTAAAAAAAAAAAAAAAAAAAATCAATAAAATATATATATTTTTTAAAAAGCTAATTAAACATTATGTCTTACAAGAGAATGTTCAAGAAATTTCATATGACAGGTATTTTGTAATCTCTTCTTAGTAAGGTAAGCACAATATAACTTTTGATATGAAGAGATAAGTAAAGCTATATCGCATGAAAAAATATGTGACTCAGGCTATATTATGCACACACAAAAATAATGAACTCTAGTTGTATTAAAACATTTTATTAGAAAAATCCTAGGTGTTACCTATGTAATATGTAAATTATTAAAGGACAAATAATTTCTCAAGGTTTTAATTAGACTAGTAAAAAAACCAATGCTTAAATAAGAATAATTTTTTTAAAATGTATATAGCTAAGTGTAATTTTCCTCCTAAGACAACATATTAAATAAATGTAAATGATAGCTATGGCAAACTAAAATAGTCACTGCTATGAATAGTAAAATAAATATTTATAATGTTTCCCTATCGTGAGAAAAATGTCTCATAAACTACAGTTTTTACCTGAAAGAGGGAGTGGGAGAAAGAATTCACTATATTCTTACCAGGACTAAGGCCAAGTTCTCTCATTAAGTCAGGGTTACAAGCACAGAATCTGTGTGAGAACTTTGTTATAAGAGTTTCAAGATATTCCCCACGCTCTTCAGGGGCATGGATGTGACGAAAAAATTCTCTCAGTGCATTGGGCAAGAATTGATTTCTAAAATTATGCAGTGTTACAAGGTCATCCAAGACATCTCTCCTAAAAGAAAAAGACACAGCTTTACTTAATTTTTCTCTATTAATCATAATTTTTTAAATAAAAATAATTTATTATTGAGTACCAGATCAGCGAATCCTATAAAGTATCTATAATTCTTAAAATTAAAAAACTGTGATTATTTAAGGAATTAAATGATTTAAACATATATTTATTTACATATAAATATATGTAATTATATTTATATGAAAATAAAATAACAAAACAAGGAAAAACTAGTATTTCTAATTATAAAATAAAAAATAAAATTTTAATATTATAAAGAGCAGTTACTTTTCAAGTATCTTCTTAGCTAAGTCCAAATGAATAACATAATTCTTTAATTTTTAATTATGAAAATAAAGAGTATTCACCTTCCATATCAATGTATATCACTGGAGCTAATTGTTTATACACACTTTTTAAAATGTCTACATATACTGTCTATTGCTCTAGAATTTTATTTTGCTTATTTTACATAATATATTGTGAACAGCTTTCTGTCTTAAATTTTTTTTGTGTGTGTGTTGATTTTAGAAAGGAGAGAGAGAGAGAGAGAGAGAGAGAGAGAGAGAGAGAGAGAGACATTGAGTTGTTGCTCCATTTATTTATGTATTCACTGGTTGATTCTTATATGTACCCTGACCAGAATCAAACTCACAACCTTGGTATATTGGGACAATGTTCTAACCAACTTATCTACCTAGCCAGGGCTCTGTCTTTATACATAAATCTAACTCTCCTTTTAAATGGCTTCACAGTATCCCATCTTATGAATGTAACAATTCTTTTTTTTTTTTTTTAATATATTTTATTGATTTTGTACAGAGAGGAAGGGAGAGAGATACAGAGTTAGAAACATCGATGAGAGAGAGTCATCAATCAGCTGCCTCCTGTACATCCCCCACTGGGGATATGCCCGCAACCAAGGCACATGCCCTTGACCGGAATCGAACCCGGGACCCTTCAGTCCCCAAGCCGACGCTCTATCCACTGAGCCAAACCGGTCTCAGCTGAATGTAACAATTCTAATGATATATATTTAGGGCATTTACAATTATATAAATATATATAAACAGAGTGGCCAGATTATTATGATCTCTGAATGCATAATAACCTGGCCACTCAGTGTATATCCTATATAATAAAAGGCTAATATGCAAATTGTCCCTTCAACCAGAAGTTTGACCAGTAGGCAGGCCAGCCAATAGGCCAGGCTGGCAGGACCCCACCCATGCACAAATTCAGGCACTAGGCCTCTAAAACACACACACACACACACACACACACACACACACACACACACACTGAGTAGCCAGATTATTATGCGTTTAGAGATCATAATAACCTGGCCACTAGTGTATGTGGTGTGTGTGTGTGGGGGGGGGGGGTGTTTATATAATTACTAGAGGTCATGCATGGTGGGGTCCTTCGGCCTGCCCAGTGATTGAGGCCTACAGGGGGTCCAGCCAGCTGGAGGTAGGAATCCTGGGAGGTTGGCCTCCCAATCAGGGCCTATCAGGTAAGCCAGCTGGCCAGGGGAAGGGACCTCGGGAGGTTGGTCAGCCAGGGGGAGGAGCCACGGAGGTTGGCTGGCTTGGGGGTGGGGGTGCGTGGAAGGTTGGCTGTGGGAGCGCACTGACCACCAGGAGCAGCTCCTGTGTTGAGTGTCTGCTCCCTGGTGGTCAGTGCGCGTCATAGTGACTGGTTGACCAGTCATTCTGTTTGTTCAGTTGTAATGGTAGCTTAGGTATATATATATTCAATACTATTCTAATAAATAGACAAATTAAAAATGCTTCAATCCTTACTCAATTAAACCATGATTATATGATCACTAGTGGCCTGGTGTACAAATTTCATTCCATGTATGGGAGGTGTCCCTCAGCCCGGCCTGCACACTCTCCAATCTGGGACTCCTTGGGGGATGTCTGACTACCGGTTTAGGCCTGCTCTCTGATTGAGCCTTAACCGGCAGTCGGACATCCCTCTCGCAATCCAGGACTGCTGGCTCCTAACCACTCACCTGCCTGCAGGCCTGCTCACCCCTATCTGCCCCCCCGCCCGCCAGCTTGATCACCCCCAACTGCCCTCCCCTCCTGGCCTGATTGCCCCTAACCACCTCTACCTCAGCCCTGCCACCATGGCTTTGTCTGGAAGGAAGTCTGGAAGATCTCCTGGTCTAATTATAGCATATTATCTTTTATTAGTATAGATAATTTTCAATATCTACCAGTTAATTATGGCAGGTATAGGCAAATATGGCCACTGCCTGGTTTTATAAATAAAGTTTTATTAGAACACAGCTACACTCATTTGTTTGTGTACTGTGTATATCTACTTTCATGACACAATTTTGGAGTTATAAGTAGCTGTGACAGAGATCATATGGTCTGTCAAACCTAAAATATTTACAAAAAGATCAGGTTCTTTAGAGAAAAGCTGCTGATCCCTAGGTACCTAGTATTTAAAGTTGAAGAGAGTTAATGACACTTGTTTAACGTTAAGAGATTTCTTTCAATGATCAGTACTTTAATGCTGGACTATAAACTATTCAGTCAGAGATTATATTTTAATCAACTGCATAATCCCACTTTCTAGCAAAGTTTCTAGAATATGATGAATGCAAATTTCTGTTAAAAATCCTGAGAAATAAAAAAAAAAACTCTCTAAAAATTACAATAAAAAGGTAAATCCATTTTGAACCATTCATTAATTAGTATGAGACTTTTAATTTTAAAAAATGGTGGAGCAGTGATATTACGTTAAATGTCAACCCAGCATTGTTTTTACAAATAGCATGTTCTTTTCTTTTTATTGATTTTTTTTACAGTGAGGAAGGGAGAAGGTTAGAGTTAGAAACATCACTGAGAGAGAATCATCAATCAGCTGCCTCTTGCACATCCCCTACTGGGGAAGTGCCCACAACCAAGGTACATGCCCTTGACTGGAATCGAACCTGGGACCCTTCAGTCTGCAGGCTGACCCACTATCCACTAAGCCAAACTGGTCATGATTCATTTCAGTACTTTTTATGTCCCCTGATAACCATAATTTAGAGCAGTGGTTGCCAACCTTTCAGATCTCCCAGACCACCAGTGATTGACGGCCACTGCTCCAAACGTTTCCTTCAACCTGCTGTTGACAACTTTCAGAACCTCAGACCATCAGTGGTCCACGGACCACCGGTTGGCAACTGCTGATTTAAAGCACAAATTAATGACTATTAAGTCAGAGCAGCTATTGAGGATTATTTCTATCTGTGTATAACATACTGTTAAATGACACATTTTCAGGATTTTCAAGTTGTCCATGACATTTCTGTGCAGTATTGATCTGAAAACATACATCTATTTCTTATCACTAGGATTTGTGAGTTTATAATTACAATGTCTACTTGATTTTCATATTGGCAATTTTAGAGTTCAGAACTTTTAGTTACCTAAACACTTAGGTTCTATGGCTAGTTATTAAAAAAATAAAAAAGAACTGCAGCAATTCAAAAAATACTCGGTTTTGCCAAAACTGGTTTGGCTCAATGGATAGAACGTCGGCTTGGGGACTGAAGGGTCCCGGGTTTGATTCCGGTCAAGGGCATGTACCTTGGTTGCGGGCATATCCCCAGTAGGGGGTGTGCAAGAGGCAGCTGATTGATGACTCTCTCTCATCAATGTTTCTAACTATCTTTCTCCCTTCCTCTCTGTACAAAATCAATAAAATTTATTACAAAAAAAAACCAAAAAACATAAATACTTGGTTTTGGTTTACTATTACAAAGATGAAGGGCTACCATTTTGCATGTATGAGTGGGATTATTTTTTGTTGTTGCTTTCTTTATAGACAAATTAAAGCTCACAAAGATATGACTTGTAAATTATAAAAATATTTTCCCTATCTTTACGCTATTATTTTAAAATATTTTTATTGATTTCAGAGAGGAAGGAAGAGGGAGAAAGATAAGAAACATCAATGATGAAAGAGAATCATTGATGGGTTGCCTCCTGCACACTTGGGGATCGAGTCTGCAACCTGGGCATGTACCTTGACCAGGAAATTGAATCGTGACCTCCTGGTTCATAGGTAAATGCTTAATCATTAAGCCATGTTGGCCAGGCTTGTCGTATATTTTTTAAAGAAAAACAACTCATAAAAAATATTACTGAATTCATTTCTGATGAAAACTTATTTTTTTAATTAATTAATTAATTTATTTTTTTACCTTTCATCAAGATAGATTCTCAGCTTTTTCCAATTTAGTGTTCTTGTACAGAAGATAAACTTTGCTATTTCCTTTGGTGAATCGTCTAGGATACCCTTGGACATAAAGTAGTTCACTCCCTAAGGCAGAAATACAAATCTCATAAATAAAATCAGTCTTTAGTTATAAATTTAACAATTAGGCAATAGCAGAACAATAGCTATAAATTCTTTCTAACATTAATAGACTTTGTATAGCTTTAACATGCATAATACAAGCTAGAACTTGAACTTAAACTATTACTGTGGCTGACAGTTTACATGCAATGAAAAGTAGGAAATTCAAAGTTAAGACTCCTAAAGAAATCCTAATTAAATTTTCTAGCTCATGTCAATTAAAACCAACTATACAGAAATGCAGCCTAAATTAGAGGAGGGTATTGAAGAGGGGAGGGAAAAACTACTATACAGACTTCAAAATAAGCATTATCACAAACACTTTTGCTGTCTAACAAAAAGCACACACAATGATTTCTTAAAACTTAGATACATGTTCTAATACACTTTTCAAGGAAATAGATTCTTGAGAAGATTCTCCAAATGAAAGACTAACAACTTGATTCTGGAAAGAAAATAAATTATTTAACTTAAAGCAAAGTGGGCACAATTCCCGGGCAATTTTGGGTTGTTCACTTTGGCTTTAAGCATTGCTATATTCTTCAAGAATTTAGCTCCAGTACACACTGATGCAAAACATAAAACAAAGCAATTTATGTTTTCATAGGATTTATCTTTGAATTTCCTTTTCTCTGCATGCAAAGTTTTCCAGAGAAGCATTACCCATAATTTTGTATCTACTTTAGGTTTAAAACAATGACAAAACATCAACATAAAATCAAATGCTAAAACCAATCAATGTTCTCTCATGTATATGGAAATCACATTCAAATAATTGCCTTATGTGGATTTGAATGTGCAATTATTGAAATAAAAGGCAGGTGTGTTTATTTCAACTCACAGTTATTCAGATACTTGCATTACCACGAATGCTTATGTCTGGATAATAGCACATTATGTGTTGTTAATTGACAGAGAAAATGACATAGTATATACACCCAACATATTGTTTTCACACATAAATGCCTTTAGCATTTCTTTCTTTTATAAACACATATTGCTCAGAAATATTAGACAAATTAAGAAATTGAAAATTGTAAGATTTTTATAAAAGACTCTTAAAACCCTCTCATAAAAATATTTATAACTTGGTACTATGAAGTAATGCTTTTGAAAGGTTATAATTATCGATAAATTGTAATTCAAAGATAAGGTTTTTATATAAAACTAATTATATGAGGCATCAGATAATACCCTAATGAGTATTTTAATAGTATAAAAACAATCCTAAAGCACTGATTTAAAAAATGTATATAAAGAACAGAATGTGATGTCATGAAATTTTATCAACTCAATTGTAAGCTGTATTTCAGACTGCACCTGGATACAAGGCTAGAGAATGTCACATGATCAAGATGGAAAGCCAATAATTTGAATTATTTGTTTGGAATGAAGCTTTCAGAAAATGTCTGAGGGGGCAGGACTAGAGTAACAATAATGCTTGTTCCATCCTTTCCTCCATTAGTTTGAATAACCGAGAGTTGACTGTATATTAATTGACTCACCCAGCAAAAATTGTCAGCATTTTAAATAAAATTCCTACATTTAAGAGAATAACAATATATCAGAAGTGCTTAATTTTAATCCAAGTGATTCAAAGATAAAATATCAATTAAATATTATCTAATAGGTTATTTATTCATACCTACTTATAAATCAATATCCAAGACATATAAAACTAATTCTAATCTATTTAAAAATTTATATAAAATATAAAAAATACTAATAATTCATTAAATAGTACATAAATCTCTAATTACATGATAAATACCATTTTAATATCATTTGATGCTCCTTAGTTATAAATTAACATTGGTATATCTACCTCAAGTTTCCTATCTAATAAAAGAGTAATATGTGAAATTGATTGTACTTCTGTCATGCCTACCAGCCAATCAGGAGCAAGTATGCAAATTAACCCACTAAGATGGCTGCAGCCATGCAAAGAGCAGGAGGGAGGCTTGGGTTTCCCTGGCAATGGAGGAAGCCAAGCTTTCCACTTGCCCGTGCTGGCCCAGGCCTCCACTCAATGCTACAAAGTTTCAATGATAGAAGATAAATAAATCCCAACAAAAATTGAGCTGAAGAGAGTAGGAGACTAGGGTTGCCTCTGGCGATGGAGGATGCCAAGTTTCTGTAGCTCTGGCCTGCCTTGGCTCTGCTTAAGGCTACAAAGTTTCAATTATAAAAGATAAATAAACCCAACAGCAATGGCTGCCACCATGGAGCGAGCAGAAGGCTTGGCTCCACTCCAGGCTACAAAGTTTCAATTATATAAGATAAATAAACCCCAGATACCAGGGCCTCCTCTTGGGTGGCCGGAAGGTGTGGCTGGCCTGCAAACTACCACAGGCCCCTTGTCCAGGCTGCCCCACACCCCAAGGGAATCCCCACCCTGATCCGGGACACCCTTCAGGGCAAACAGGCTGGCCCCCACCCATGCACCAGGCCTCTATCCTAGTGGCTGGCAAACTGTGGCTCCTGAGCTGCAGTTTGTCAACCACTCTATCCTATCTAATAAAAGAGTAATATGCAGATTGACCATCACTCCAACACACAAGATGGCTGCCCCCATGTGGACACAAGATGGTCACCACAAGACAGCCAGCAGGGGAGAGCATTTGGGGCAATTAAACCTGCAGGGGAGGGCAGTTGGGGTTGACCAGGCTGGAAGGGGAGGAAAGTTGGGGGCAACTGGGCCTGCAGGGAAGGGCAATTAGGGTGGATGCAGGCCTGCAGGGGAGAGCAGTTGGGGGGGGGGAGGGGAGGACCAGGCCCTAGGAGAGGGCAGTTAGGGATGACTAGGTCGGACATCCCTCGAGGGGTCCCAGATTGGAGAGGGTGCAGGCTGGGCTGAGGGCTAGCCCCCCTGCCCATGCACGACTTTCATGCACTGGGCCTCTAATGTATTATAAAAATACACTGTTAGTCATTTCCTTTTTTATGGATTACATGTTTTGAGACTTTAATATCTAACCTAACTTGCCCAGGCTTGAACATGTACAAAAACAATAGAAATGCAAAGGACATCTTTTAAAAAAACATGAAAAAGAAACTCATATGCTACAAATCCAGAGGATAAGTGAAAGTTAAAGACAAAGATAACTGATGTTTCTGGCTTAGATGCAGAGAGAAATGACTGACAGAAAAAAATAACTGATAGCAAAAATCCCATAGGTTTTAGAGGGCATTGAGTTGGAACAGTGATGTGGTTGGTATTAGAAATGTTGATAGATACAACTAGAAAGCTACTGTAGGCAGTTGGCAATTTAATAATATATAAAAAAATAAATAGGGTTGAAGGTACAGACTAAGGATTTTCAATAAAAAGACTAATAAAGAGAACAAGTAATGAAGAGAGCAGGAATAGAATAATGCCACAGAGGGTAAGGGTCTTGGAAATGAAAAGTATATAATGCAATGATATTCCCTGTTTCCCTGAAAATAAGACAGTGTCTTATATTAATTTTTTCTCCCAAAGTTGCACTAGGTCTTATTTTCAGGAGATGTCTTATCTTTCCATACGCTAGGTCTTATTTTCAGAGGATGTCTTATTTTTGGGGAAACACGGTAGTATAGTTAGAGGAGCATAGTGTTATGAGGGACCAAATTTTGGCTCTTCCACTTAATGATTATGTTAACACTTGAAGATTCATATAAGAATGGGCTTTCCTTTCCCTGGCTGCTGGCAACACCTTGGCTCCAGCTGGAGTTGCCTTTCTGCCTTTCCATGCAGCCCAGAGGCCTGGAGCAGCCTGGAGCGGTGCGGAATGCCTCCGTTGTTGCCATGGTGACGACACAAGGATCCCGCCCTGCCCCTAGCCGCTCAGCACCTGTGTATGCAAACTAACCTGCCAGCTTTGTTGGGTTAATTTGCAAACTCACTCCTGATTGGCTGGTGGGCATCACAAATATATGGTCAATTTGCATATTACTCTTTTATTAGTGTGGATAAACAGTTTACTCAGGAGCCTTGGTTTCCTAATCAATAAAAATTAAAAGGCTATTGTGAGAATATGAAAGTGCCACACATAGAACATGGCTAGTTTCTTTTGCCTTTTAGATAGCCCAAGGAGACAAAAATGGGAAAGAGGGCATGGATTTGGTGACTGAGAGAAAATAAAGTAGTGACTTTCAAGATCTCTTTTAAAAAAGTAATGGGGACTTCTCAAGTCTAAGTAGAAAGCTTAGATGCAGAGAGAGTATAGTATTCCACTAAAATTTGTTATGCAAATGTAGCACCAAGAATTACATAATAAAATTAGGGTAGTGAGCTGTTTTGAAGTCATTTGTTAGGTGGCAAAAAACAAATAATTCAAGAAAACAAACAAGTCACTAAAACCATTATTAAGAAGTAATTTAGAATAAAGAAAAGATGTGTTGGAGCTAGTCACCTATATAATGCATCTCTCCATTTTCTTCTTATCGTGAGAATGACTTCCCACATAGTAATTCATGTTTTAAGATATAGCTACTTTTTTTTCTTCTATTACATACATACTCCTTATGTTCTCTCACCTTTTAAAAAAGCCAATTAAAAAAAATCAAATTACTATATCCACAGTTATGTTTCACAAGCAAATTTACCGTATATATGTTCAGAACTAAAAATATATATTTAGGAACAGAGAGAATTCTAAAACACTAGGCATGCAAAGCCAAATAGGAAAGTATTGGATTTTGTGGTAAACTTATAAATATTATTAAAAATAAAAGTATTAATTTAAAAATAGTACTGTTAGAATTTAAAATACTGGCTATCAGCACAAGCACTTGGCAGGAACACTGTGTAACAGTTGGTCAATAAAGGAAACCATTAATAAAACAACAGTGTAGCATACCAGGGAGTACCCTTAATTTATTTTCCTAAAAGACAGCTTAGGATATACAATTAGATTTAGCTAGTTTTGTTCAAATCTACCATTGTATACAATGTGAAAAACCAGTACCTTGGCTATTACATT